ACACAGTGAAGGCTGGCTCAGAACCAACATAGTGAAGGCTGGCACAGAACCAACACAGTGAAGTCTGGCACAGAACCAACACAGTGAAGTCTGGCACAGAACCAACACAGTGAAGTCTGGCACAGAACCAACACAGTGAAGGCTGGCACAGAGCCAACAGAGTGAAGGCTGGCCAAGAACCAACATAGTGAAGGCTGGCACAGAACCAACACAGTGAAGGCTGGCACAGAACCAACATAGTGAAGTCTGGCACAGAACCAACACAGTGAAGTCTGGCACAGAACCAACACAGTGAAGTCTGGCACAGAACCAACACAGTGAAGTCTGGCACAGAACCAACATAGTGAAGGCTGGCACAGAGCCAACAGAGTGAAGGCTGGCCAAGAACCAACATAGTGAAGGCTGGCACAGAACCAACATAGTGAAGTCTGGCACAGAACCAACACAGTGAAGTCTGGCACAGAACCAACACAGTGAAGGCTGGCACAGAGCCAACACAGTGAAGGCTGGCACAGAACCAACATAGTGAAGGCTGGCCAAGAACCAACATAGTGAAGGCTGGCACAGAACCAACACAGTGAAGGCTGGCACAGAACCAACATAGTGAAGTCTGGCACAGAACCAACACAGTGAAGTCTGGCACAGAACCAACACAGTGAAGTCTGGCACAGAACCAACACAGTGAAGGCTGGCACAGAGCCAACAGAGTGAAGTCTGGCCTAAAACTAACACAGTGAAGGCTGGTCTAGAACTAACACAGAGAAGTCTGGCACAGAACCATCACAGTGAAGGCTGGTCTAGAACTAATACAGTGAAGGCTGGCCTAGAACTAACACAGTGAAGGCTGGCCTAGAACTAACACAGTGAAGTCTGGCCTAGAACCAACACAGTGAAGTCTGGCCTAGAACCAAGACAGTGAAGGTTGGCCTAGAACCAACAACAAAGTGAAGTCTGGCCTAGAACTAACAACACAGTGAAGGCTGGCCTAGAACTAACAACACAGTGAAGGCTGGCCTAGAACTAATACAGTGAAGGCTGGCCTAAAACTAACAACACAGTGAATGCTGGCCTAGAACCAACAACACAGTGAAGTCTGGCCTAGAACTAATACAGTGAAGGCTGGCCTAGAACTAACAACACAGTGAAGGCTGGCCTAGAACCAACACAGTGAAGTCTGGCCTAGAACTAACACAGTGAAGGCTGGCCTAGAACCAACACAGTGAAGTCTGGCCTAGAACCAACAACACAGTGAAGGCTGGCCTAGAACCAACAACACAGTGAAGGCTGGCATAGAACCAACAACACAGTGAAGGCTGGCCTAGAACCAACAACACAGTGAAGGCTGGCCTAGAACTAACAACATAGTGAAGGCTGGCCTAGAACCAACAACACAGTGAAGTCTGGCCTAGAACCAACACAGTGAAGGCTGGCCTAGAACCAACACAGTGAAGTCTGGTCTAGAACCAACACAGTGAAGGCTGGTTTGATTGTGGCCAAGACAAAAACTCTAGGCTAGGACATCTAATGTTTGGTTATAACGATAAACTCACCGCTAAAGTCAAAGAATTCACACACCAAGATCAGTGTCTGAATGTGTTTTAGTTTATGTTCTTTATTTCACGGATGGCCTGTTTGTCTTTGCCAGTTTATTATGGCTATATTAAAATTAGTCTCACTGTTTAATTGTTTGGCTGTGTATACAACTCATACCTGGCAGTTTAAATAGATAACCAGATTTGCACGTGAGACAAAGCATTTAGAGTTGGTGGTTGAGGTAGACGGTTGGATTCACAGTAGAAAGATAACAACACAGTGCAGTTGTTTAGAAGCTCTGACAAAACTGTAGATACGCATTGTTATTAACATCAAAGGATTCAACAAGATATGTTTAAGTGTCTTTAAACGATACTCACAGATGTCAATTATTATTTGTTATCGCATTGTGAAAGGTTATAGTGTAGCTAAAATATTAACCACACAAGCCAGTTTTTTTTTCTTCTTGGGGTGTAGCAGTACCTTGTAGTCTTATTTAGTTTTACCTATTCTACCCCATGTGCACAGAACTACCTTGCAGTCTTATTTAGTTTTACCTATTCTACCCCATGTGCACAGAACTACCTTGTAATCTTATTTAGTTTTACCTATTCTACCCCATGTGCACAGAACTACCGTGCAGTCTTATTTAGTTTTACCTATTCTACCCCATGTGCACAGAACTACCTTGTAGTCTTATTTAGTTTTACCTATTCTACCCCATGTGCACAGAACTACCTTGTAATCTTATTTAGTTTTACCTATTCTACCCCCAGGTGCACAGAACTACCTTGTAGTCTTATTTAGTTTTACCTATTCTACCCCGATGTGCACAAAACTACCTTGTAGTCTTATTTAGTTTTACCTATTCTACCCCGAGGTGCACAGAACTACCTTGTAGTCTTATTTAGTTTTACCTATTCTACCCCCAGGTGCACAGAACTACCGTGCAGTCTTATTTAGTTTTACCTCTTCTACCCCATGTGCACAGAACTACCTTGTAGTCTTATTTAGTTTTACCTATTCTACCCCGAGGTGCACAGAACTACCTTGTAGTCTTATTTAGTTTTACCTATTCTACCCCGAGGTGCACAGAACTACCGTGCAGTCTTATTTAGTTTTACCTATTCTACCCCCAGGTGCACAGAACTACCTTGTAGTCTTATTTAGTTTTACCTATTCTACCCCCAGGTGCACAGAACTACCTTGCAGTCTTATTTAGTTGTGCCTTCGATGCCCCACTCCCCCAGCCCAAAGATGCATAGAGCTACCTGGCAGTTTTTTTATGTCTGTCCTCTTCTATCCTGTAGTGTAACAGTATCTAACAGTCTTGTTCTGACTGTCCTCTTTTATCCTGTAGTGTAACAGGATCTAACAGTCTTGTTCTGTCTGTCCTCTTCTATCCTGTAGTGTAACAGTATCTAACAGTCTTGTTCTGACTGTCCTCTTCTATCCTGTAGTGTAACAGTATCTAACTGTCTTGTTCTGACTGTCTTCTTCTATCCTGTAGTGTAACAGTATCTAACAGTCTTGTTCTGACTGTCCTCTTCTATCCTGTAGTGTAACAGTATCTAACAGTCTTGTTCTGTCTGTCTTCTTCTATCCTGTAGTGTAACAGTATCTAACAGTCTTGTTCTGTCTGTCCTCTTCTATCCTGTAGTGTAACAGTATCTAACAGTCTTGTTCTGTCTGTCCTCTTCTATCCTGTAGTGTAACAGTATCTAACAGTCTTGTTCTGTCTGTCCTCTTCTATCCTGTAGTGTAACAGGATCTAACAGTCTTGTTCTGTCTGTCCTCTTCTATCCTGTAGTGTAACAGGATCTAACAGTCTTGTTCTGACTGTCCTCTTCTATCCTGTAGTGTAACAGTATCTAACAGTCTTGTTCTGACTGTCCTCTTCTATCCTGTAGTGTAACAGTATCTAACAGTCTTGTTCTGTCTGTCTTCTTCTATCCTGTAGTGTAACAGTATCTAACAGTCTTGTTCTGTCTGTCCTCTTCTATCCTGTAGTGTAACAGTATCTAACAGTCTTGTTCTGTCTGTCCTCTTCTATCCTGTAGTGTAACAGTATCTAACAGTCTTGTTCTGTCTGTCCTCTTCTATCCTGTAGTGTAACAGTATCTAACTGTCTTGTTCTGACTGTCTTCTTCTATCCTGTAGTGTAACAGTATCTAACAGTCTTGTTCTGACTGTCCTCTTCTATCCTGTAGTGTAACAGTATCTAACTGTCTTGTTCTGACTGTCCTCTTCTATCCTGTAGTGTAACAGTATCTAACAGTCTTGTTCTGACTGTCCTCTTCTATCCTGTAGTGTAACAGTATCTAAAAGTCTTGTTCTGTCTGTCCTCTTCTATCCTGTAGTGTAACAGTATCTAACAGTCTTGTTCTGACTGTCCTCTTCTATCCTGTAGTGTAACAGTATCTAACAGTCTTGTTCTGACTGTCCTCTTCTATCCTGTAGTGTAACAGTATCTAACTGTCTTGTTCTGACTGTACTCTTCTATCCTGTAGTGTAACAGTATCTAACAGTCTTGTTCTGACTGTACTCTTCTATCCTGTAGTGTAACATTAACTAACAGTCTTGTTCTGACTGTACTCTTCTATCCTGTAGTGTAACAGTATCTAACTGTCTTGTTCTGTCTGTCCTTTTCTATCCTGTAGTGTAACAGTATCTAACAGTCTTGTTCTGACTGTCCTCTTCTATCCTGTAGTGTAACAGTATCTAACAGTCTTGTTCTGACTGTACTCTTCTATCCTGTAGTGTAACAGTATCTAACAGTCTTGTTCTGACTGTACTCTTCTATCCTGTAGTGTAACATTAACTAACAGTCTTGTTCTGACTGTACTCTTCTATCCTGTAGTGTAACATTAACTAACAGTCTTGTTCTGACTGTACTCTTCTATCCTGTAGTGTAACAGTATCTAACAGTCTTGTTCTGTCTGTCCTTTTCTATCCTGTAGTGTAACAGTATCTAACTGTCTTGTTCTGACTGTCCTCTTCTATCCTGTAGTGTAACAGTATCTAACAGTCTTGTTCTGACTGTACTCTTCTATCCTGTAGTGTAACATTATCTAACTGTCTTGTTCTGTCTGTCCTCTTCTATCCTGTAGTGTAACATTGTCTAACAGTCTTGTTCTGACTGTCCTCTGTTACTGAGACATTTAGAGCTAGCTTGCAGTCCTGTTTGGTCTGTCCTCTTCTATCCTGTAGTGTAACATTGTCTAACAGTCTTGTTCTGACTGTCCTCTTTTACTCAGACATTTAGAGCTAGCTTGCAGTCCTGTTTGGTCTGTCCTCTTCTATCCTGTAGTGTAACATTGTCTAACAGTCTTGTTCTGACTGTCCTCTTTTACTCAGACATTTAGAGCTAGCTTGCAGTCCTGTTTGGTCTGTCCTCTTCTATCCTGTTGTGTAACATTGTCTAACAGTCTTGTTCTGACTGTCCTCTTTTACTCAGACATTTAGAGCTAGCTTGCAGTCCTGTTTGGTCTGTCCTCTTCTATTCTGGGACTGAGGGTAACCTTGCACATCTTGTGGGTCATCATAGTGATATGTGGATGGAAAACATGGGTCTTGTCAACCCTGTCGTCACTTCTGGGTGAAACTGATGTAGTGATGACGGGTTGTCGCAGTGTTCTTTGGCTAGAAAATATGAGGCTTAGCAGTTTTTTTCTCACCTCGGGGTGCCCAATGGTATACAGGATCGGGTTGAACACGGTAGAAACTTTGGCCAGGATGTTTGGAATCACCGCTATCATGGGAGTGAGTGAGTTTTCTGGTCCGAAGAGACCCACAAATGAAATGATCACATACGGTGCCCAGGCAGCGCAGAAGATACCGATGATCACCATGGCTGTGAAGGCAGTTCTCATTTCCGACTGTGTGTCTGAACCCAGCTGTCGCATGGCACCGTGACTGTAGTCTCTCAGCAGAAACTTGAGTTCTTGCCTCACGTGTTTCACTCTCAGGTATATTCGCCAGTAGCAGTACGTGATCATGGTCACGGGAACCAAGAAGTTGCACGTGACCAGGCAGAGGAAGAACCACCGCTGGGGGACGCTCCTGTCCACGTAATTAAACGTGCAGGAGGTGCCCATGCCCTCCAGTCGGTACAAGCCGAGTCCCGCTAGGGGCAGCACTGACCACGTGATGCTCAGTGTCCAGATGGCAGCGATGATAAAACCTGGAGAGCAGAAACAACAGGTCTGATTAAATATTTCAGCCTATAATCTCACGTTTGTTTACTGATTACTGATTTAAGAATCGACATCATAGCACACCAGGCATACCAACGGGTGCTTCGTCTCCCATAGCAAATATCTTAAGGTGTGGATGCTAACTATTCCCGTAGCACATTGATTACACACACGTAGTTCTCTTCCTCTCATCCGTCCCTCCTTGCCGGATCCACACTAAATGTCTCGCTCACACATTTCTACACATGTTTTTTCATCTGATATCGTGTCTTCTGTCAGCATTGTTTCATATATGGTCTTCAGAATATCTCTCTTGTCCAATACTAGTGTTCCTGTAACTTTCGCTCTTTCATTGCCTCGCACTCCTGCATATCCTGGACAGTATATCCACGTGATATCTAGCACTGTTGGCGTGCTGATGCACGGTGACATCTTATGCCACATAGGTCCTTTTGAACCTCCCGCAGTTTTGACTGAGTATCTGTCACAATAATTCCGCTGGTAACTCCCCCCCCCCCCCCCCCACCGCGCTATCCAACTCAGAGCTGCAGTGATTACCTCTATTTCCATCCTCATGCTTGTAGTTATAAATGAAAAAAAGCTCTAGTGTGTTCTGCCACAATCTTTCCTTTTATTCTAGCTGAAAATCCTCAGCCAGATCTTACACCCTGATGAACAGAACCATCAGTGTACACTATTGCATCATCTATCATTTGGGATACCACTAATTCTGCCATTTTCTTTCAACATTGTATAATCCGACACACGCACAAGTGTGTAATTTCACATACGTATACAGTGGTATGTACATTTCAACATTTTACAATCCTACATACACACAACAGTGCCCACACACATTTAACACTACAATTACATGATTTCACATAGGTTAAACACTTTATAACGGAACATACAATCAACAGCTCAGTTTTGTGTAAATTCAACGGCAAATATTGTAACATAAATTCAGCAATCAGCGCCATTGTTACAAATAGATCTTGAACCTTTTCAAGTATATTAAATCATCTGTAGACATCCTTCCAATATCAAGTGTTTCAAGTTCTGCAACCTTGCTTGTGTACAATTTGCAGCACACTCTTGAAAATGCAGATCCCAGTGAGAGTGCCGTGGGCGATAGTGCGTGTCTCACACATAAGAATAGCAGCCAGATAAGGCTCACCATCACTGCCATCACTCTCATTGGAGGCCTTCAGCCAACTTATAATATTCAGGCGATTAAGGGGAGGGGGTGCCCAATCCTTGTTTTAGTATTAGGCATTTGGTTAACCAGATATCTTCACTTAAGACAGCATACCCCACAGCCATTCAGTCTATAAGCACGTGGTCCCACCATAGGTTAGATTTTTTTAAATGTCTCGTCTTAAGACTTTTCCATTTTGTCCCAGGTCCACGTTGACCTTATTACCATGGCCACTTCTTGGAGGTTGTGCCTTTTTGGTTGCGCACAATGGTCTTGACTGTAGACTTGTGTGCCAGGTCAAGTAATTTACCAGTAGAGCCCATTTCACCTCGTGGCTACACATACTAAACGGCCTAGATCCAGAGACCACAAATAGAGAAGAGCTGGTGTTTCCCACTCCCCAAGAGACTTAGCATCTACAGCCGTGGATTTTCATGACCCCTGGCACTCCATATGATTCATCAGTTTATACAATCAACATTCGAGCAACCTTTACCAATTAAAACTCAGAAAGGTTCCCGCGATAGAGTATAATACGACATCAAAATACACGTTAGAGAAATAGTGTTAAAAAGTGGAAGCTTGAATCTGAACAAAAATTTACAGAGAATAAAACACACGAAACTACTACCACAGGTCCAGCAATATATGATAATCAAAATAATTACTGTAAATTTACCAGTGGTAGATTTGGCCAGCCTGTGCATCCTGCAGTGTCTGTGAACGACCACGATATAGCGGTCGACGGAAATTGCAACCAAAGTGTTGATTGTGACTAGACTACAAATGGACGAAGTGAAGCCATAAATCTGGCAGCCTGTAAGAGAAAATAATATATGATTCAGTAAAATAACCTATTTTTATCCTCATCTTATTCTCTCCCCCATCTTCTTCATTGTCTTTTTTCTGTCTCCAATTACCATAACTGTGGCCCAGAGAGTTGCCATGTTGGATGTTTCCTATACTATGTTAACTATTTCATCGTCGTAACCTATGGATTATTAGCATTAAAGGCATCAGACCGTCTTGTCTCATGGTCCCTCTTGTGTACATCCGTTTAGCTTTTTCTCACCAACCATCTTCTCTAGAACCAGATCCCCACTTGTCATGACTACCAAGTGCAGTGTACTACTCATCATCATCAGGTGCCTTGCCGACTGGCGTGGGCGGTCATGCCTCTCCATAATCTGCGATCTCCTGCAGCATGTATCAGTTCGTGTGCCGACACTCCTCCATGCCATGCAACAAGACTGTCAAGCAACTTCTCCCGTTGTCTACCTCTATCCCTCCTTCCACAGATCTTTTCAGTGGTCACAACATGTTCTATTTCCCCTCTTCTCATAACGTGGACGAAAAATGATGACTGTCTCCTTCTGATGTCTGTGATAAGTTGTCTTCAGGCTCTCGCCTCTTTCAAAACCTCTTGGTTGCTCTTTTTGCCTGTCCAAGGTATTCTAGCATTCTTCTGTAAAACCCCATCTCTGAGGCCTCAAGAAATTTTTAGGCCTGCCTACCGATTGTCCAGGATTCACAGCCATATGTTAAAACTGGATGTATGTAGCAAGCAAGAATTCTTTTTCTAACTCTCAATGACAAGAATATATTGCACAAGATGTTTTTCATTTTATAAAATGCAGTTTTTGCCTGTCCAATTCTGTTTCTTATTTCAGTTATGCATCTTCCATCTGATGTTATCCATGTGCCCAGATACTTTAATTTCTGTACTTGTCTTAAAATAACACCATTGACTTTTATTACACATTTAGGAATAATTTGTTTCTTTGATACCACCATTACTTCTGTCTTCCCATTATTCAAACTGAGGCCCATTCTTCCACTTTCTAACACCACAATGTCTATCATTTCCTGTAATTTTTTCTGACTAGTTGCTATGTCAGGGTTCGCCCTGTTATGGGAAAGTTCAGGATGATGATGATGAATCTCGTCATCGTATCCTGCGACCCTTAGTGAAACTCGGTACGTGTATACACACGTAAAAATTAAAGATTTCATTATATATTCACTGTATATTGAAAACAAATCAGGTGACAGTACATATCCTTGTCGTACGCCCCTCTTTATGCTTTGAAATGTACCTAAACAGTTGTTAATTCTTATAGCTGCTGTTTGCTGCCAATACATATTCTTTATTATTCGTAGATCTTTCCCATCAATGTTTAATTTTTCTAACAGTTTGATAACTTCTTCATGCTTCACACAGTCAAATGCTTTTGTATAGTCTATGAAGCACAAGTACAAATCAGTCTTTACTTCTATAGCTCTTTCTGACAATGTCCTTAAAATATATATGGCATTGTTTGTACCTTTTCTTTCTACAAATCCACATTGTTCATCGCTGATTTCTGGTTTAATTTTGTTTCTTATAGTGTACTACTATATTTAAAAAAAAAAAGCTAATTGAAATGCCACAGCTTTCAAATAAACTTGACAAAATCCCAAATCATTGTATTTCTTTCTTCTTCCTCCTACTTCTCTTCTTCTTCTTCTTCTTCTTCTTCTTCTTCTTCTTCTTCTTCTTCTCTATTCTTCTTCGTATTTCTTTCTTCTTCCTCCTACTTCTCTTCTTCTTCTTCTTCTTCTTCTTCTTCTTCTTCTTCTTCTTCTTCTTCTTCTTCTTCTTCTTCTTCTTCTTCTTCTTCTTCTTCTTCTTCTTCTTCTTCTTCTTCTTCTGCTTCTTCTTCTTCTTCTTCTTCTTCTTCTTCTTCTTCTTCTTCTTCTTCTTCTTCTGTTCTTCTGCTTCTTCTTCTTCTTCTTCTTCTTCTTCTTCTTCTTCTGCTTCTTCTTCTTCTTCTTCTCTTCTTCTTCTTCTTCTTCTTTCTTCTTCTTCTTCTTCTTCTTCTTCTTCTTCTTCTTCTTCTTCTTCTTCTTCTTCTTCTTCTTCTTCTTCTCTTCTTCTCTTCTTCTTCTTTCTGCTTCTTCTTCTTCTTCTTCTTCTTCTTCTTCTTCTTCTTCTTCTTCTTCTTCTTCTTCTTCTTCTTCTTCTTCTTCTTCTTCTTCTTCTTCTTCTTCTTCTTCTTCTTCTTCTTCCTCCACCTAATTCTCCCCTCTTCTTCTTCTTCTTCTTCTTCTTCTTCTTCTTCTTCTTCTTCTTCTTCTTCTTCTTCTTCTTCTTCTTCTTCTTCTTCTTCTTCTTCTTCTTCTTCTTCTTCTTCTTCTTCTTCTTCTTCTTCTTCTTCTTCTTCTTCTTCTTCTTCCTCCTCCTCCTCCTCCAGTTATAAAGATCGACGCACTGTTGCGTGGAGGTTAAGAACTTCCAAGTGTTCTTTTTAATGCCCTGTAAAATGTCTTTAAGGCTGTTCTTGATGCGTTAAAAAAAAAAAACAGGTCATCAACGTATTAGGAAGATAATGTATAGAATTGTGTAACGGCATGGCGGAATGTGTGGTACGACCAAGTAACGTATGCAAATGCAGGATTGCATGACTTTACATCGATGGTTTTGTACATCGGGGTGACAAATCGGACACGGGGTTTCTCCGATAGAGTGAACGAAGAGGTCATGGCACAACAACGTGGTGTTGTATTGTTAGATCTAGTTTCCAGCATGTGCATGGAGCTGGATGCAATCCACTGCAGCTTTGTTGTGGGCAGCTGACAATAGTTTGACCAGCGGAGTCGCCGTGTCTGATTGTCAGTTGATGATGCTGAAAGTTCATCATGGGCATGAATGTATACCTAGCTAATACCAGCAAGTTAACATTATCAGAACTCACAAGGATATACTGTCCAGAATATACAGGAGTCCGAGGGAAGTAGAGAGGTGCTATACTAGCTGGGGAGTGAACACAGCGACCGGAACATACATACTGACCAAGGCAGACATTCGGAGGACTATATCTGAACGATTTTACATGAATTAACGTAGATGAAGTTCTGAGAATTTGTAATTAAATGCAGATCGGACACAGAACGAAGAGACCGGCGTGTGTACAACTAATGTACTGGGGCAACACCAGTCAATATCTAAAGACATTTGCTGGACACAGAACATCTATCGGCGTTCCCATTATTCTGTCGATTATTAAACCAATAAACTGTGAGTTGTCTGAGGCTTTTGTCAACATACAACTACATTGATTGCCATACTTTGTTCATGTTGCCATTGCTTTCAGATACGGCGAAAGACGACATTTATTGCTTGCCGTACTGTGTATACAGTCGCCACTATTTTTCGGGGGGAAAAAAAAAGGGGGGGGGGGGGGGGTCCACATGTCAAATTTAAAATGACCAACCTGGTCGTAGGCCAAAAAGAAAGAAAGTCAGAAATCCGTTAAAAAGATAACACCCACATTTTCAGGTAACAGGATATTGTTTATAGGATAATCAAAGATGATAATCTCTCGCCACGCTTCTGCGAAGACACACTCATCCACTGCAGCACTTCCATATATTCATAAATGTGTCTGTTCGAGCTAGTTATTTACAGAAAACACATTCTGCTATTTTGTGAGTTCAAGGTCCAGATTCTATAGTTATTTTACACCAGTCTCGCGGGCCACCCCTGCTACAGTGTCTAAGTATCTCTGTCTATATCAAAATCCATTGTGCCAGTGTTTCTTCTGTGCTAAATATTTCTCTCGTGTGCAGAAATACACGTTTGTGCTTGCTATTTCTATCGGTAATAGAAATTTCTACACGTTTCGATGCTTGCTTTGTATATTTCTGTTTCTGTCAGTATTTCTGTTCTGAAGAAGAAGGTTAAAGAGTTTTCCTTTCTCCTCTTTCCCTGCTCTCTCTCTCTCTCCTCTCTCCCTGCTCTCTCTCTCTCTCTCTCTCTCTCTCTCTCTCTCTCTCTCTCTCTCTCTCTCTCCTTCTTCAGACTATTCGACCCCGAACATCCGAACATAAGCCAGTATCAAATCTGCGGACTCGTTGAACCCCTGTTGTTGAGCCCTGTGGCGGCGAGAAGCAGACGCTACTCACCGACATATCCTAGCCTCCAACAACTGGTCAGACTGGACACGGCGAAGACTGGCAGGTTCAGCAAGGACATGAGGAGGTCGGCCACTGTCAGGTTGATGATCAGCAAATTGGAGGATGTGCGCAGAGAAGAGTGCCTGAAAGAAGATGTTCAACAAACAAGAGTCTGAGAAATGTGTCCCTGCAAACTGTATGTGTGGTTATTGAAGACATTCGTGAAGTTTTATTGCCCGTGTTTTGTTTTCATATTTTAAATTAATCATTAAAAACTCATCACCGTCGTCATCATCGTCTTCATCATCCTCATCATCATCGCCATAAACATCCTCATCATGATCATCGTCATCATGATCATCGTCATCATCATCATCGTCATCATCTTTGTCATCATCATCATCATCATCATCATCATCGTCATCATCTTTGTCATCATCATCATCGTCATCATCATCGTCATCATCATCATCTTTGTCATCATCTTTGTCATCATCATCGTCATCATCATCATCGTCATCATCGTCATCATCATCATCGTCATCCTCATCTTTGTTATCATCGTCAGCATCATCATCATCATCATCATCGACGTCATCATCTTCATCATCATCGTCATCATCATTGTCATCATGATTGTCGACACCATCATCATCGTCGTTGTCGTCGTCATTGTTATCATTGTCACCATCATCATCGTCAATCATCATCGTCATCATCATAATCTTGATCATCATCGTAATCATCATCATCATCGTCATCATCATCATCATCATCGTTGTCATCATCGTCTTCGTCATCATTATCGCCATAATCATCACCATATTCATCCTCTTAATCATTGTCTTCATTAATTTCCTTCTTCGTCACCCCCTTTCCATCTTCTTTAAAATGCATTCCTTCATTGATTCCTTGATTCTTTTATTTATTCATTCATTCGTTCATTTATCCATGTATGCATTCATCAGTTTACACATACACAAACACACACACACAGGAAATGATTCATGCATACACACATGTGTACTTATGAAGACTTGAACCCGCATCCCCTAGGACAGTTCTGAGATTGCTCTTATCGAGCGCTAAAATATAAACCTAATTTAGCAGCCAATATCCCAGGCAGGAGACAGGATTATGGAAAGGAAATTGCAACTTAATGTGATAACTCGGGCTCTCCACTCACATAACTACCCCCGCCCCCTCATCAGTGATCTCATTATGTGATGCGGACATCTGCTGTTGTGGTGGCCGCGCTCTCCCACATAGACATGTGGTGACGCTGGGAGACTACGGAATGCAGTCACGCCTGTGTTTGTATGATGATGCGCAAGAAATATCCCAGCAGTCACGCATGTGTTTGTATGATGATGCCCAAGAAATATCCCAACAGTCACGCCTGTGTTTGTATGATGATGCGCAAGAAATATCCCAGCAGTCAGGCCTGTGTTTGTATGATGATGCGCAAGAAATATCCCAGCAGTCAGGCCTGTGTTTGTATGATGATGCGCAAGAAATATCCCAGCAGTCAGGCCTGTGTTTGTATGATGATGCGCAAGAAATATCCCAGTAGTCACGCCTGTGTTTGTATGATGATGCGCAAGAAATATCCCAGCAGTCACGCCTGTGTTTGTATGATGATGCTCAAGAAATATCCCAGCAGTCACGCCTGTGTTTGTATGATGATGCCCAAGAAATATCCCAGCAGTCACGCCTGTGTTTGTATGATGATGCCCAAGAAATATCCCAGCAGTCACGCCTGTGTTTGTATGATGATGCCCAAGAAATATCCCAGCAGTCACGCCTGTGTTTGTATGATGATGCCCAAGAAATATCCCAGCAGTCACGCCTGTGTTTGTATGATGATGCCCAAGAAATATCCCAGCAGTCACGCCTGTGTTTGTATGATGATGCCAAGAAATATCCCAGCAGTCACGCCTGTGTTTGTATGATGATGCGCAAGAAATATCCCAGTAGTCACGCCTGTGTTTGTATGATGATGCCCAAGAAATATCCCAGCAGTCAGGCCTGTGCTTGTATGATGATGCGCAAGAAATATCCCAGTAGTCACGCCTGTGTTTGTATGATGATGCGCAAGAAATATCCCAGTAGTCACGCCTGTGTTTGTATGATGATGCCCAAGAAATATCCCAGCAGTCACGCCTGTGTTTGTATGATGATGCGCAAGAAATATCCCAGCAGTCACGCCTGTGTTTGTATGATGATGCGCAAGAAATATCCCAGCAGTCACGCCTGTGTTTGTATGATGATGCTCAAGAAATATCCCAGTAGTCACGCCTGTGCTTGTATGATGATGCGCAAGAAATATCCCAGCAGTCACGCCTGTGTTTGTATGATGATGCGCAAGAAATATCCCAGCAGTCACGCCTGTGCTTGTATGATGATGCCCAAGAAATATCTCAGTAGTATCTAGATGGTAACTTCTTACTCAGCAGATTGTTGCAGACAGGCTCAAAGTGCTACAAGCGATGTTTTACCTCAGAGTCGCCTAGACAAAGACAACTCCTCGTGAATCCCTGGATATATTTCAGTGCAGCTGGTGAAAAGAGGGAAGTCTAGGATGGCACAAACAAAGGATACAGCTAGAGATATGTGTATGCTTGAAAATATTTGACAATGAGAGGAGTAGGCCAAGGTGTCAGAGAAGGGATCAGATTTGTGTAGTGTTCTAATCACAATGGGCCAGGAGGGCAGGGAGTGGCCACGGGGTATCGTAGAATCAGAAACTGAACAGATTCATGTCAGTTCCCGCCCAATGGTGAGATTATCTACTATGTTGAGCTCTATGTTGAGCTCTATGTTGAGCTCTATGTTGAGCTCTATGTTGAGCTCTATGTTGAGCTCTGTGTTGAGCTCTATGTCGAGCTCTATGTTGAGAAGCAGAACAAGTGCATGGGAGTTTATTACGAAAGCGCGTGTCACTTAGTGTAACAAAGCCTTAGGATATGACGCCGCCAGATCTAGTTTGAGAATCTCAGTAAATGCAGTCAGAGCAGCTTTCCGCTGGCTTGAGAACCAGCTTGTGACACCTTTTGTAATCGTAACAGACTCATAAATCATGTGGAGACGGGTGGAGAATGGCTTGCTTCGCACAGATAGACATGGTTAACTTTAAAGATCCCTGGTAGTTGGTGTCGTTTAGATCTTTGCTCCAGTAAATGTGGGTGTTCTGGGAAACGAACAGGCAGACAGAATGGCGGGTGCTGCACTACTGGGTGGGAAACTGATGCGGGATAAGCTAGACGTGGTCAACGACCTCAGGCTACAAGCGAACAATGCGGAAGTGCGAGTAGACCATTACTGGTTGGAGATAATGGTTCAACGGGGAGTGATTGTGGGATCTGGCTCACTGTCTACACTCAGAAGAGAGACAAGACTGCTAATACTGGAAGATGGCTACTGATACTATCGGAATTGGAGCTCTGCGCTGGCTGCTGAAAATAAAGACTGGAGCACTATAATATTATCCCCCTTGCTGCGACATGGTTTCTTAATTTAACTCAGCCTAACTGTCATGGTGATTTCTACGGTGGCTTGGTGTACTCATTTAACTAACTGCCACTGCGGGCTGACAATCAAACAAAATAAACGATAACAAATAAATGAAGGCAATCCTACCTGGCAAAGGTGTAGAGAACCAGAGAGTTGCCCACTCCAGAGAAGAGAGCCACACAGGCCACGAATATCCCTGTACAGGCATGAATGTAGTAGGGCACCAGGTGACATTTCGCTGACGAGTCCCAAGTGACAGCTGACGTTTGATTGTTTGTGAACGTTGGTCCGTTGTTGTCTGACATTACATCATTACAGACCCCCTGAAGACGTCACAGATATCCTGGTGATATAGCTGGTATCTGTGTGACATTACAAACTGCCCAATGATTTAGCAAACTTTACTTTGAATTACAGACTTGCGTGAAATGTATTGGATTGTCTGCTGTCTGGTGACATTTACTTCAGATGATACAATAAACTGTCTGGGGAACTCACAGGCTTCCTGTTGACACCACAATATTCCAGGGCATAAACAGCCTCCTAACAACAGCGAAGTTTCAGTGTTGAGTGCTGAAACTTAAAAATCGCATTAGTTAGCAAAGTGAAGAGGTAATAGGCAGTTCAGCAACAGTTTAAAGAAAATTGACAACCATTGATTATCCTCAAATATGAGTTACATTAGCTTGGTTACAATCTAAGGCTGGACTAATATTGCGGAAAGGTGGGCAGTCCATTAGGGCTTTGGTTTGCCGACACCGTTTCCTCATATACTGACTGAAAGTGCATGGTTCCTTTCCTTAGCAACTAAACTGAGTGCATGACACGAAACTGTAAATTTTTTTTTTTAAGTTAAAGGCTTTTCGATTCTGCCAAGGCTGTTGTGAACTACGTATTCAGAAAATAGCGAGTGGCCTGTTGTCATAGAACTTGCAGTGTCTTATGCAGCGATGTGTGTGCAACTACTGATTATATTTTGTAACTGTTACGTCCTTCCACAAGAAATTGTAATTCAAGTGGCGGACTGCTGGAGCTAGCTGCTCTGGGAGATGTCTTGTGAATATAATTCTTGTTTGTTTTTCCAGGACAGCAGTTTATTTATTTTCCCCCACATGGAACAGTTGTAGATCTTTTGTGCGGCTTTCGTTGGCGTGTGCCCCTACTCTAACTAACTAACTAACTAACTAACTAACTAACTAACTAACTAACTAACTAACTAACTAACTAACTAACTAACTAACTAACTAACTAACTAACTAACTAACTAACTAACTAACTAACTAACTAACTAACTAACTAACTAACTAACTAACTAACTAACTAACTAACTAACTAACTAACTAACTAACTAATTAACTAACTAACTGACCGACAAACTAGCTAACTAACTAACTGACTAACTAGTTAACTAAGTAACTAACTAATTAACTAACTAACTGACTGACTAACTAGCTAACTAACTAACTGACTAACTAGTTAACTAACTAACTAACTGACTAACTAACTAGTTGACTAACTTACTAACTGACTAAATAACTAGTTAACTAACTAACTAACTAGTTATTAACTAACTAACTAACTACTAACTAACTAACTAACTAACTAACTAACTAACTAACTAACCTAACTAGTTAACTAACTAACTAGCTGACTAACTAACAAGTTAACTAACTAACTAACTAACTAACTAACTAACTAACTAACTAACTAACTAACTAACTAACTAACTAACTAACTAACTAACTAACTAACTAACTAACTAACTAACTGACTGACTAACTAGCTAACTAACTAACTGACTAACTAGTTAACTAACTAACTAACTAACTGACTAACTAACTAGTTGACTAACTTACTAACTGACTAAATAACTAGTTAACTAACTAACTAGTTATTAACTAACTAACTAACTACTAACTAACTAACTAACTAACCTAACTAGTTAACTAACTAACTAGCTGACTAACTAACAAGTTAACTAACTAACTAACAAACTAACTAACTAACTAGCTGACTAACTAACAAGTTAACTAACTAACAAACTGACTAACTAACTAGCTGACTAACTAACTAACTAACTAGCCAGCTAACTAACTAACTAACTAACTAACTAACTAACTAACTAACTAACTAACTAACTAACTAACTAACTAACTAACTAACTAACTAACTAACTAACTAACTAACTAACTAACAAACTAACTAATTAACTAACTGACTAACTAATTAGTTAACTAACTAACTAACTAACTGACTAACTAACTAGCTAGCTAGCTAACTAACTAACTAACTAACTAGCCAGCTAACTAACTAACTAACTTCTTAATTTTGTATGTAACTAGTGTCATTCAGCCACATCTGCCTGGCGTGTTTTTTTCTTACCAACGGCTTTTTCACAATTTTTTTATTGAACCATTTGTTCTTTCTGTTTATTGTGGATACACCAAGATATTCTTCTGCAGTGGTTTGAATTATATTCCTAATATCCATCCAGGTTTGGTCAACATCTTCCTCTGACGGATTTTGTAAAATTTAAATTGTATGTTTTTATTCATCTGCAAATTTCTCTGATATGGATGTTTTTTTTAACAATCTTTCTGTATTGTACTCTGTGTGTGATCTTTGCAACTTGGTTTAGAAGAATTTATTGAGATTGATTTTTAATTTTGCACCAACTAGGTAGTGGTCACTGTGACACTCAGTCCCTCTGTAGCCTCTAACTTGTTGTATGTTTGATGTATTTCTATTATTTATAAAAAATATGGCCCATTTGATGAAATGTTATCTTGCCAGGTTTGTTTATGTGTATCCTTTCTTTGAAATCTGGTGCTGCTTGTCTGTTGTCCTTTCGCTACGGCGAGGTTGATTAATCTCCATCCATTATCGTTTGAAACTGTATGTAGGCTTTCCATGCCTGCTAAATCTTTATAGGTGTACTCTCTTCTATTTTCGCATTGAAATCTCCTAATACACTCAATATATCTCGTTTTTACCTTTATCTGTGATTTTCTCAAGGAGATCATAGAAATTTTCTTTAACATCATCTTCTTTATCTTCAGTGGCTGCATGCACATTAATCATCGTGAAATTGTTCCATTTTCCTTTTATTCGTACCTTACTGATCCTATCACCAGCAGCTTCAAAATGTATAATGCTTTCCTAAAATGTTTTTTGGATGACAAATCCTGTCCCTAGTTGATGTTTGTTTTGAGTGTTTCCTACACACAGTATGATTATTCCATTTTCCTCTATGGTATATTGTCCTAACCATATTACTTCTTGAATCGCTGTTGTATCCATTCTGTATTCTAATAACTCACGGGTCAGTTCTTCAGCTGCTCCAGCTCTATAAAGGGTTTATACATTCCATATTCCAAATCTCAAAAGTCCTTTAACGTTCCATTTTTGATATTCGTTTAAATCAATCCACAATAAAGGCTTAGATGTTTGTTTTATGACGAAATAAAGTTTTACTAAGGTGGGGGTGTCGGCCCATTGCTTTAACTGGCTGACCTGGAAGACCAGGGTGTCTCTCTTTGTTCTACCCTTCATCATCTCCGGCTTCGGGAACCCTGCTGGTAGCTACGCTATCGCCGGCATAGCTCTCGTGGTCGTCGAGATACTCAAGCTGCCCCAACGCGGCAAGGTGGAGACAACATCGGGAGAGGCCTTAGAAACACTGATGACAAATATTGGTCCTACACCGTTCGTGTGAAAGATGGCGACATTTAACAATAATATATGTAAATATAATACACATATACATCAAGACTATAAGTGCTAATTAACACTTGCAAATTTTTTTCTTACGCAAAGTATTTATATTGTATAATTATGTTATTATGAAGTGAAAAAGAATTGAACATCACCTCATTAATTCCATAAGCCGACATTTATATTTGATTCGCCTGGAGACAGATTTAGTGAATTAACCTGTGTAAACACTCGACACAAGATGAGTACCAGGCATTGGGTAGAAAGGACAGCTAGTGTATCGGTGACCACATACCGCATGGCGTGCCGACTGATCAACAACAAACATGCATCTACCATCATGTGCCCGATTGGCTAAAAGATTAAAACGGTCTCTAATTTCACAAACTGTCAGGTATTAATTGGCCCCATACGTGCAGAGGATATGAATGATATACATGAAACAGTAACAGTAGAGGCAGAACCTGAACCTTCATTAGATGAAATTTCATGGGCAATAAGGAGCCTGAAAAATGGTAAATCACCTGGATGTGATGAGATACCAGCTGAATTGATTAAAGCGGGAGGAGAAGAAAGCATAAAAATCTATCATGCATTATGTGAAAAGATATGGAAATATGGTATTTGGCCAAAAGACTGGAAGAGAACTATCTTCATTCCAATACCAAAAAAAGGTGACCTGAAATTATGTACAAACTATCGAACTATTGCCCTGATCAGTCATGCAAGTAAAATTCTACTAAAAATTATAATGAGAAGACTGCATAAGAAAATGGAAGAAGAGATTAATGTAGCTCAGGCTGGATTTAGACAGGGAAGAGGAACAAGAGATCATATATTCAACGTGCGTTTAATAATAGAGAAGTGTAGAGAATTTAATGTAAATCTGTTCTTATGTTTTGTGGATTATTCAAAAGCATTTGACTGTGTACAACATCAGAAGCTTTGGAAAATCATGAGGAATATGGGCTTTCCATCACATATAGTGCAGCTCATTAAAGTGCTCTATCAAGACCAACAAGCAGCAGTCAGAATAGATGGAGAGACATCAGACTGGTTTGGCATCAAGCAAGGAGTCCGTCAGGGATGTGTGCTGTCACCGTATTTGTTCAACCTGTACGCCGAAAATATAATGAGAAATGTAAGAGATGATATAAACAAGGAACAATATGATGCCCTAAACATCGGTGGTCATGAAATACCAGAAATTCGTTATGCTGATGATACAGTATTACTATCAACATCACAAAATGGTTTAGAAAACTTATTAACCTCACTCCAAAGAAATAGTGAAAATCATAACTTATTTCTTAACATAGCAAAAACAAAGATAATGCATACAAACAAAACTGCCATGGAGAAGGAAATATATGTTAAAGAGGAAAGATTGGAAGTGGTGGAAAATTTCGAATATCTTGGGTCACTGGTTACCAACAATGGTGACACAATGAAAGAAATTAAACGGCGACTATCAATTGCTCTTCAAAGACTAAAACAACTGAATAAATTATGGAATTGTACAGATAGAATTACAAAGGTCAGATTTTTAAGAGCATGCATCTTTCCCATTGCAACATACGCCTGTGAGACC